TTGTGTATTAAAGACTCTGTAAGCAAGAACCAAATGCTACTAGGTGAACCCATGCAAACCAAAAGTTGTAAAAAATCCCCAAACAAAAAAATCTATAGCTCACTGCAGATGACACAATGAAGACCAGAGAGAAAAGCCATATAGTAATGCCGCACCATTCAGCTCCAAGAAGCACATTATTTATAGTGCAGTCCACATATGGTCACTGCTAAATGTCAAGTCAGCAATCCTACATAGTTATAGTTTGGAACTAGGGGAGTCCACAGATCTAAACAGATATGAAACATGACAAAACCCAATTACGCATATACTTCTAAATCCATAGATGAGCAAACTAAACACTTGTAATTGGAGTTTCAAACTTACACTAATTTTTTAAACCTGGTTGGTCAACCTGACAACTATAAAGACAGTTTAATAAGTCAGGTAGTGCAAAGGCCAACTAATGGCTGACGGGCAGTTACACTTCCAATTGCACCAATGACAACATATTTTAAGTCTATGATGCAGGCATTTTGCCTTCTGTATAGATTAAAATCATTCTCTCAACTGATTTCTCATCTTCTAACTATGATAAAGGTCATAAACAACCATAAATCCTAAATCACAACAACTAATTCATATAACTGATAAAATCCTAGCCTGGCCTATGGCTTTAGATCAAGTGTTATTTGTTTTCTAAATATTTTTCTTTAATGTATTGTGGCAGTCATAATTATAATGGCTGGGACCTAAAAATCTCATAAAACAATAACGACTTTTAAAATTTAAGTTCAAAAAAGTTTGTTATAATAATGATAAAACGTTAATACTTTCCACCTTCTGATTAATTCAAATAATGAAGTTATCTAGCAATTCTTTCATAATTTTCTTAGAAAGTTGTTTTATTCTTGACCAGAAATTTCATCAAAAGATATCTGGTTGGTTATAAAGAAGATGAAAAAAACCCTTCATAACAAATATTATTAAATACTTTACAAGTACTGATTTTTTTAGTGTTTTCGACATTTGCCTATTGAAACTGAAATACCTGTATCATCTCACTAAAAAAATCTAGGCTTCAAGAAGTTCAATAAAAGCATAATGCACTATTACATCTCTGTATTTCATTTCTCATCTTACTG